CCGTACTGTGCGAATTGTCGCTGAGAGTTGGCTAAAATACGGTGGTGCGGGACTGCCTTCTTCACAACCTTGACTATGCAGCTTCGTCGATCCTCGTGAAATTCGGCTCGGCTGAACTCCGTCGCTGAATTACCAACGAAGTCGTGTGCAGTTCTCATTAGAGCTTTTTCCCTTCTTGTGCACTTTATAACGCTTTCATAATTTTCTCTCGATCCACCGTGTTATAACCTCAACATTTCCACTCCTAACTTCAAAAATGCCAAGCATTTTAGTCTTCCAACCTTGTGCAATTCCAATTACACCTTATTTATCAATCTTAACGACAAAGAGCAACACAAATGGGTTTCTTTCACTAAAAATGGACCTGTGCACTCATCTTTGGCACCTCAAATTGAAGCATTTATTTCGCAACTGGACAATCAGCCACGCCACATTGCCACACTCAAAAGTCAGTTCCATTTAAAGGCTTTTCCTAACTTCCTTAGTTAAGCTGAAACATTTTGTTGCTGAAACTGCCAGCAATGGCGGTGTTACCCCCACCAGCATGCGCATCAACTCAATTCCAATTGTGGTCTCACGTCTCCAATTTTCGCTGCCTTTACTTCGACATAAATAATGTGATTTCCTTGAATATTAGGCGGTGCCTCCTGTGTGCTTCACTTTGTCTCCCGAACCAAACGTATTGCCATTTGAATGCGAAGACTGCTGATGCGAGCACTCCAAATGCGTGGCTCGGTTCGGCCAATCAGGAAGCGAATCGTCTGGCACTTACGCCTACCTTTCATCAGCCTTTGGGTGTTTCCACTCATTTACGTGTGATAGAGGCGCCCTCAAAGGCAATGTGCACCAATTGTGTTGCGGGAGTTCATTCTATCACCGCGAGCCTACAAGCCAAATATTTTATCATCGCCTGCTTGACTATGGCGCTTGTTCTTATACTCTCAGCTTTGCCAATCACATAAGGCGTGGCGGCAAGTAGTCAAAGTGAATGGCATTTAATTAAGGATGTACGTAGAAAAGATTTTGCTACCAGTTGTTGAGGCTGTAGTAAAATGGCGACCCTCATCTGCTGATCAGTGCCTACACCCCAATAACGGCAGCTTTTAAATACAACAGTTTCCATTTTTTGTCCCTTCTTGCTTAGTGACTTTATGTGTCTGTCTTTCTTGATTATCTCTTTGAGGGACAGAGGATGGAAGGGGGTGGAAGGTGAAAGCGGATGTGGAGAAGGTTAAGCTAAAAAGGGTACCAAGTAAAAAGAAAAGCACCCACCGAACTTCAGGGGAGCTAAACGCAAAATGTAAAACCGCAAGAATGTCCGTGCATTTGAGCTAACCGATTCATGTCAGAATTTTATGTAGAACCTACTAAGGGAGAAGTAATGTAGGATATTTAAATACACGTTTTTGCATAATTATATTCACAATTGTGGGGATTTATGCCATAATGGAGTAGAATGCAAACGTGCAAATAAATGCAGAAAGGAAAACAAAAATTATGTCTGCCAAGAAGAGAGCAAAGACCGTTTATCGCAGGCGCGCTGACAATTGCCAAAGTATGTGTAGAAATAATTTCGTGTAGGAATAATTTCATTTATCACGACAAATTTCAAATCAACTACACCTTGTGCTTCTTTCAGTGCCTTTCAGAGATTGCGAGATATTTTAGAGTT